TGTGTGTGTGTGTGTGTGTGTGTGTGTGTAACCCACACTGAATGGCCCAAGGCTCTCCTTGTTCCCCAGCTGGGCAGGTCTGGCACAGAAAGCCAACCCCTCTCTCCCAGAGCCACCTGCCTCCAGAAAGAGGTGAGATTCTGTAAGTGCCCCCTCCACCCAGCACTGAGAGGAAAGCCTGAACCAGCCATCTGGCTGCATTTGGGCAAAATCCTGCAGAATGACTAATCCTCATTAACCACACTTCCTCCCTCACAGGCAGACACACCCTCCCCTCTCCACACACTCACACTCACATACCCACACACAAAGACACCATCATACTCGCCCTACGCAGACACACAAACAGGGTGGACACACCCTGCATGCACTGGCCCACAAAGACCGTTAATTGCACGACCTAAACGCCACACACACACACACACGCACACACACACACACACACACATGCACCTACAGCCCATATCCATCAGTTGCAGACACTTGAATGTGTGGCTACACAGAGCCCCACCCTGACATTTTCCTCTCAATTAACCTCTCCTCTTGCCCCAGGGGCTTTCCTACAAACTCATAAACTGAATCCGGAAAGCACAGGCCTTCATCTCCTACTCCCAGCCTCCAACCCCCTACTCGCCGGACCCCAAAACCCTGCCGGAACACTCACAGTTTCCTGGGCTCCTGGCCTCTGCAGCTCTCCGCGCTTCACCCCCGCCTTCCCACCCATCACGTGTAACGTCACGCGTGACGCTAACCATCAGGAGGGGCGGGGGCTACCCCCGGCGCGTCCGCCCTGCGTGCCCAGGGATTGGCAGAACCTGAGAGCAGTGGGTGTCCTTTGGGGCGACGCCCCCAGACTGGGCCACCGGGATCCGGCCCCACGCTACCTCCCAGAGCCAATCCGGGCTCCCGGATCGGTTCTGGCCCCGTCCGCCGCCAGAAAGAGGAGGGGAGGAGCCGTGGGCGCTTGCAATCCCCTGGCTGGCCTCGGGGGGCTCCTGGCCTCGGCCGCAAGGGGTCTAGGTGTCCAGGGCGAACCCTTGCCGGGCGCAGCGGGCGGCGTGGAGGGGCCGTCCTCTGATGGTGCGCCCGGAGGGGCTCGGGTTACCTCCCGGTCTGTTTACTGGTTGGCAGCCTTGGCAGTGGCTTCAGCCTCCTCGGTCTCCTGCGCTGCTCCTTCCTCGCAGCACCTCGGCCTCCACCCCCCTCACAGTCCTGTTCCGTTCGTGCCCGTTCCCCTTCTTCGCACCCAGTCCATCCCCATCCCCATCCCCATCCTTGTTCTCCGCTGTGACACCTAGCCTCACTAGGTCCCCGGCTTCCTTATGCCCCCAATCCCTATCCCTTGGCCTTAGCCACAGCCCTGGGTGGGAAGGGACAGAGTCTCAAGGTTCTGTCTGCATCAAGCAAGCGGATCAGAAAGGTTCTTCCTCCCCCTAAAGTCCTGGAACCAGCTGCGGCTCCCTGCGACCTTGCCATGACTGGGTGGCCAGGGAGACACTTTCTGGCATAGGAGGAGGATGCGTGTGAAGAAAGCAGCTCTCGCCACACACACACACACACACACACTCACAACTCACCCAGTCACAGTACAGAGCCCCACCCCCAGGCTCCAGTCCACTCCTGCCCACCGCGGCTCACGCCCCGCTCTGCCCAGGTGACGTTCCCTCCCTGAGGCCGCGGGGCTGACCGCAGAGGGCTGGCAATTCCTTGAGCCCTGGTAGCTGGCACGGCCTGGAGAGGTCAAGGTCCTGGGCTCCCCTGTGCTGAACCGTTAGTGGAGCCGACCCACGCCCTGAGTTCGCGGTCGAGGTGGGCATCCGAACTCCAACGGGAAGGGCTGGAGCCCAGCAGCCCAGCCCAGGAGAAAAACGGCTGTCCTGGGTGCCTGAGAGGTGGCGGGAGGAGTGACTGGCGGCCCCCTCAGCCAATGGGAGCGCGGGACTGCTCAGCCCCGCCCCGCTCCTGCAGCCTTG